GAGAGCAACTGCAGGAGGTGGATGGACGGGACCCAGAAGTAATCTACATCCCAGCAACAAAGGACAACTTGGACTGGTTTCTTGCGGAGGACACTGGATTCCAGGCTGCCCTGGTAGATTATATGGGTGACTTGTCTATTCATTTTCCCAAACACCAACTATGGGCAGAAATGGGGAATTTACCTTTAATGGCCACGCACCGCTACCAATCACAACTGGTAGCAGGCATCACTGCCTTTACTGATGCGTCCGGACAATCAAAAAAGGCTGCAGTGACATGGATAGATCCTGTCACAGGTCACTGGAATAGTCAAGTACAGACCATAGACAAAGGTTCTATACAAGTGTTAGAACTCGCTGCTATTCGCATGGCCTTTGAATTATTCTGTAATGAGCCATTGAACATTGTTACCAATTCATACTATGCTGCAGGATTAGTCTCACATCTCGAAACCTCTTTCCTTTGAGGTGTCTCTAATCCATTCTTATTTGCAGAATTACGTACTCTGTGGTTTCTTATCAATCATAGAAAATCCAATTTTTATATACTGAGTGTCCATTCTCACACAGAACTTCTAGGACCCATAGCGGAAGGCAATCAAAGAGCAGATGCCGCTGTTATGATAGCTGCAGTTCCTAAAACTTTTGAGCAGACCAAACTCTCTCACCTCTTTTTCCATCAAATTGCGCGGTCCTTAGAGTAACAATTCCAACTTAGCATGAACCAGGTCAGAGACATTATCATGTCCTGACTGCCAACAATTTGCCCCAATGCCATTTAAAGAAGGGGTTAATCCCTGAGGTTTAATAGCTAATGAGATATGACAGACTGATGTCACTTGTATAGCTGAGTTCGGTCAACTAAAATATGTACGTGTCACCGTAGACACCCACTCTAAGTATATTAATGCCACTGCGCATACAGGGGAGAGGGCAAGAGATATCATTAGACATTGGTTTAACTGTTTCGCAGTTTTAGGAGTCCCAAAACCTATAAAAACAGGTAATGGTCTTGCTTACTGCTCACTGAAAGTTAAAACATTTCTTAAGGATTGGGGTGTATTTCACATTAGAGGCATCCCACACTGTCTCAGTTTAAGGAGACTGAAGTGTTTTGCTAAGGAGGATGAGTTATGAGGTAGACCAAACTCCTCTCTCTCAGCAATTGTAAATCTGAAATTAAGAGGATCCAATTGAGGATGTATGGAAAAAGGAAGAAATAACAACCCTTTATTAAAGAATATATGTATATTGGCAAAAACAGCAAGAGAACACAAAACCAACTAAACAATAATCCTGTATCCAAAAGTCCCCTTCAAAAAGGAAACAGTTTGATACTTCTCTGTCCTCTAGCGAGATTCTAATCATGGTTGGCAGGGGGCACTGTTGGATCACTGGAGGTGCAGAGTCTGCGGTGCTTGGTGTTGGTCGGCAGGGGGCGCTGTTGGGCTCTAACGGTCGCCATGTGGGGGCCCCAGATTGCAGGAGAAGTCGACAATGGAGATTTCCCCCCCACAACAAGGAGGGGAAGGGGAAAAGGGGAAAGAAGGGCAGTTTCTTTCTCACTAAACTCACACTGTCTGCAGCTGGCTGTAGCCAAGACTCCTCCCTTTGGTCGATGAGCACAAACTCTCTGATGAAAACTGAGCAGATTCTGGTTGGAGACAGAGCAGCGCATAGGCAAGTCGAAGCTGAAGAGCAGCCAGATGACCAGGTTGAGAGCAAAACAGCCTCAGAGCTTTTCCAACACACACACACACCTTGCCTCTGTTAAGGCAGAAAGCGAAGTGACACTTTCCAAGGAGAGGAGGGGAGAAAAACTCCTTACCCCCCCCCCAACCTTAGAGAGGGTTATCAGGCTGGAATGTAGTTCTGCCAACCAGTTCCTTTGTGTAGGTCAATCACCCATGGCAGAAAACTGTCCTCCCCATTCAACATCCCTCCCCCACATTGCAACAGGGGAAAGAAAATTCCCGTTTGGTTTTTTAGAACAAGTAAACCCATGACCCACACTCGCCCACAGGACAAGCTATTGTTGAGAGAGCACACTGCACATTAAAAGAAATGTTACAAAAACAAAAAAAGGGGGAATCCATCCATAGTCCACAGGAATGCCTGTGGAAAGCATTATATGTCTTGAATTTTTTAAACTGTGACGACACGGATTACAGTGGATACGAGTGTCAACATGAGTCCAAGGTGCTATTCTCTCCCAAACCACTGGTCATGATAAAAGACTTAATATCAGGACAGTGGACAGGACCTGTGGACCTCGCGACCTGGGGGAGAGGGATATGTTTGCATATCCACAGGTACCCAGTTAAGATGTATCCCCTCTAGGTGTGTCAGGTCTTATATTAATTCTTCTTCTGAACAGGAACAATCACCAGAAATGACAAATGATGAAACTTAAGCAGAAGGAACACACAGTCAATGACTGCTGCTAATTTATACTTATGGTTGAAAGGCAAAAACAGAATAAAGATTTAAACGTGCATGAAGTGTGAGTGTGGTGGTCGCCAGTTAGAGTGGAAAGATGTGCATGTGTGTGAATTCCAGAACACTTCATATAAATAATGCCTCAAATAAAAGTACAATTATGCAACAATACTACCTCAACCACACCAACGTCCCCAGATGACAGTTAAGTACAATATACATACCCTAACACATTTCCCCTTAAAATAAAGTTGATGCTTTTCACCCAGTTACATACATACCCTCAGCTAAAAGTCCTACATGACCCACCTGTTAAAAACCCTGGATTGATGAAGGTTACATGGTTAATGAAGTTACTTAGTGTATAGAGTAATTAGTTCTAATAAAGGCCCTTTAGGTTTAGGTCCTGATTTGTATAGTTAGTTAAGATAAGGTTGTTTTATGTTAAGAAAAGTTTTAGAGTTATACTGCTGTACAAGTTTTGAGCTGGTTTCCCGCCAAGTCCCCCGAAACTCGACAACAAGGACCCACCTCCCAGAGAGGGAAAAGAGGAAAAAAAAAACCCAAGCAACCAAAGCTATAGCAAAAATATATATATATATATTTTACATATGAGACAGATACACAAAAGGAGAATACCACACACCGGGGGGGGGGGGGGAAGGGAGAAGGACAAAAAGGGGCAAGGACCAAGCAAGTCAAACAGCCAGCCGAAGGTAAACTAGCAGAAATCTCACCACTTCCCTTCGAACAGGCAGGATGACCAGACACGGTCCCAGGCTCTCCCCTCACGCGTGGCGGATAACGGCAGTCACTGTAGGCCTCGGCTCCAGATAAGCCCGACCGAAACAGGGACCCACCGTTCTCGAACCTCGCCAGAGAGGAAGTGATATGACCGATTCCCGGTCAGGGAACCTGCACCTCCAAACCGCCGGAAGGAAAGAGAGCGAAGGTCTCTCCTCCTTTCTTCTTATAATCTGGCTAACGTAAAAATTGTAGGGAATACTGGGTAAATCTGGACCCTTCCTTGGTTACAAACTGGTCACCAAGGAAGGCCTAGTCCAAACCACCACATTCTCCACCCCTTATTCCATACTATTTTTACGTAACACCTATGTCTCACGTTCGCCTACATCCCGCCCATATATATACACATATACATATATAGTCCTTGTTGGTCTCTCGGTACAGTTGTCTCGTCGTTGGAAATCAATACTGACATCAGTTCAATTAAGTCCAGATCTTTGGTCTCCTCAGTCACAATTGCAGTTCTGATTTATGGCTGTCTCATCACAGGATATTGACATCAGCTTAGTTCAGGTCTCTCTCTCTCTCATCTGGTGACTGGTTACCTGTAAAAACACAACTCAGGACATACAATTAGTTTTTCCCCAAGGTTAAATTTCCTTGGGGCACACATTGGATCACTCCATCCTTCCTCATTATCCACCACGTATGTCCTGGTCCTTGAGCAAAGACAATCCCACGAATGGGTTTGTCTTGGTCTGAGGCAGGGGTAACCCAAACAGCTTTCCCTAGCATTCCCCTCAAATGGATTGCTGGAACTTTATCTCCATCAACAATGTGGAGGGATTCTGCTTGTGCAGGGTCAACTCGATTAACAGAACCCCTGGTGTTAACTAGCCAGGTGGTCTTGGCTAAGTTCTTATCCCAGTTCTTGTAAGTTCCCTCACCTAGTGACTGTAGAGTTGTCTTCAACAGTCCATTATATCTTTCAATCTTCCCAGTAGCTGGTGCATGATAGGGAATGTGGGGCACTGAAAAAGTCTCTAACCATCCGGTGGTTACTTCCACCATGGTAAGCACATAGTGCTTACCTTGGCAGGTCTGTGGCAGTGTGATATAATCAACCTGCCATGCCTCTCCATACTTATACTTATCCCATCGTCCACCATACCACAGGGGCTTCAGTCTTTTCGCCTGCTTAATAGCGGCACAAGTCTCACAATCACGGGTAACTTCAGAAATTATATCCATGGTTAAATCCACCCCTCGGTCTCGTGCCCATCTGTGGGTGGCATCTCGATCTTGATGACCAGAAGCATCATGGACCCATCGAGCTAAGAACAGTTCTCCCTTCTGCTGCCAGTCTAGGTCTACTTGTGACACTCCTATCTGTGCAGTTTGATCCACTTCTCTGTTGTTATCGTATTCTTCATTAGCTCACTTCTTGGACACATGGGCATCTACATGGTGGACTCTCACATTCAGACTCTTCGCTCTGGCAGCGATGTCCTGCCACAAGTCAGCAACCCAGATGGGTTTTCCTCCACGCCTCTAGTTCATCTTCTTCCATCGGTCTAACCATCCCCATAGTGCATTGGTTATCATCCACGAGTCAGTGTAGAGGTAGAGTCTTGGCCATCCTTCTCGTTCGGCAATGTCCAGGGCCAATTGGACGACCTTGAGTTCTGCAAATTGACTCGACTTGCCTTGACCCTCAGCAGCTTCTGCCACTCGTCGGGTGGGACTCCAAACGGCTGCTTTCCACTTCCGGTTCCTTCCTACAATACGGCAAGAACCATCAGTGAAAAGGGCATAACGCCTCTCTTCATCTGGCAGCTGATCAAATGGCGGAGCTTCTTCAACTCGGCTCACTGGTTCTTCTTCTTCTTCTGCCAGACTGAAGTTCCCACCTTCAGGTCAATTTGTGATAACCTCCAGAATTCCAGGGCGATTTGAGCTTCCCAATCGTACACGCTGCGTAATCAAGGTTATCCACTTGCTCCACGTAGCATCGATGGCATGATGCGTAGGGGGCACCTTCCCTTTGAACATCCAATTCAGGACTGGTAGTCGGGGTGCTAGGAGAAACTGTGTTTCAGTGCCAATCACCTCTGAGGCTGCTTGTATGCCTTCATAGGCCACCAGAATTTCCTTTTCCACAGGAGTATAGTTGGCTTCAGAACCCCTGTAACTTCGGCTCCAGAAGTCAAGTGATCGTCCTCGCGTCTCACCAGGCACCTTTTGCACCTTTGGGACTCCAGTTGTAGTGTAAAGTACGTTCTTCACTTCTGGTCCCGTTCGAACTGGTCCAAGAGCCACGGCATGTGCAATCTCTTGTTTGATCTGTTTGAATGCCTGTTGCTGTTCAGGACCCCATTGAAAGGTATTCTTTTTACGGGTCACAAAGTGAAGAGGGCTCACAATCTGGCTATACCCAGGGATGTGCATTCTCCAGAAACCTATGGTTCCCAGGAAAGCTTGCGTCTCCTTCTTGTTGGTCGGTGGAACCATGGCTACAATCTTATTGATGACATCTGTTGGTATCTGACGTCGTCCATCTTGCCATTTCACCCCTAGGAATTGGATCTCTCTGGCAGGTCCCTTGACCTTATTCTTCTTAATGGCGAAACCGGCATCAAGGAGAATCTGGATGATTTTCCTCTCCTTTCTCAAAAACTTCTTCCGCTGTGTCCCCCCATACAATAATGTCATCAATGTACTGGATATGTTCTGGGGCCTTGCCCTTCTCCAGTGTGGCCTGAATCAGTCCATGGCAGATTGTTGGACTGTGCTTCCACCCCTGGGGCAGTCGGTTCCACGTGTACTGCACACCTCTCCACGTGAAAGCAAACTGCGACCTGCACTCTGCTGCTAGGGGAATGGAGAAGAATGCATTGGCGATGTCGATGGTAGCATACCACTTTGCTGTCTTGGACTCCAGCTCATACTGGAGCTCCAACATGTCTGGTACAGCAGCACTCAATGGTGGCATGACTTCATTCAAGCCACGATAGTCCACCGTCAGTCTCCATTCGCCATCTGACTTACGTACAGGTCAAATGGGGCTATTGAAGGGTGAGTGTGTTCTACTAACCACCCCTTGGCTTTCCAACTTGCGAATCATCTTATGGATGGGGATCACAGCGTCTCGATTCGTCCGGTACTGTCGCCTATGCACTGTCTTAGTGGCTATTGGCACTCGCTGGTCCTCAACTTGCAGTAATCCTACAACAGAAGGATCTTCTGAGAGGCCGGGCAGGGCAGATGATCGTTTGGATTCCTCTTCAGTCACTGCGCCAATACCAAAAGCCCATCGGTACCCCTTCGGGTCTTTGAAGTATCCTCTCCTGAGGTAATCCATGCCAAGAATGCAAGGGGTTTCTGGTCCTGTCACAATGGAATGTTTTTCCCATTGGTCTCCTGTCAGGCTTATTTCGGCCTCTACCACCGACAGCTCTTGAGACCCTCCTGTCACCCCAGAAATTGAAACAGTCTCTGTGCTCATATGTCCTAAGGGCATTAACGTACACTGCGCGCCAGTATCTATTAAAGTTTGGTATCTCTGAGGATCCGATGTGCCAGGCCATCGAACCCACACAGTCCAGTAAACTCTGTTATCTTTCTTGTCCCTCTCCTTCTCCTGGCAGAAGGCAGGGCCCCTCTATTGGTTCTGGTCGGAGCATTCACCATCGGATCTTTACTTCGGTTTGTCAGAGGCTTTCTTGTCATCCTGGAAACGGACTCCAGACCTCCTGCGTCTGGGAGATCTCAGTTCTCTCTCAAAGAAATCTGCATCTACTACGTAGACAACTTTCTTATCGACTTCCTTGCGTTTTAGTTCTTTCACTCTGGTCTCAAGTCTGGAAGTAGGTTCACCATCCCACTTCCTCATGTTTTCTCCATGGGCGCGCAGATAGGACCACAGTTCACTGCGCTTAGATCTACGCTTAGGGTTTTCGCTCCTTCTGCGTGTGACGGAAGGAGATCGTGAGCGGGACCGGGACCAAGATCGAGATCGTGGTCGAGACCGGTCTGCTGATCTATCTCTGTAGCGTCTGTCCCTGTGGTCTCCGTAGTCATCTTCATAATCAGAGCACCCGTAAGGCTCATCTCTCTCAGGTCTTTGTCTGTAACCAGAATCAGAATAGTCTCTAGAAAACTCATTTCTAGATTCTACTGTTTCTTTTAGATGTCGCAGAACCGTACACAGCATGTTCACAGGCGTTTCTGGCATGTTTGGAAGCATTACTCCTGCCAAGGTATGGACATATGATGCAGGAGCACCCTGGATTATCTTCTTCCACATGGGCATTGTGCAAGCAATAACCTCTGGGTCATCAGTGACGGGATCGTATTGAGGGTCATCATACATAAGTTCCAGCAATGCCAATTCTCTTAGGTACTGGATAGCGTCTTCTATCTTGGTCCACCTCCTCATGGGACATGGTAAATAGTCTTTAAATAGAAACCTTTGTCTCACACTTAAGACAAGTCGCGCCCAAAGACTGAGGTCGGGTTTCTCCTCTGCAATTAAGCGATCAAGTTCACGGTCTCCGGAGATGGAAGTTAGTTGTTCTGCTTCAGCAGTTGACAATATGTGACCTCTAGCCCCACGGTCTCGACATCGGAGCAACCACGATAGAATTCGCTCACCAGGTCGACGAGTGTAATCCTTTTGTAAGTCCCGGAGTTCTGATGGGGTCATTGACCGCAACTCTGTAGTTTCCATTTTTGGGGGTGGTACTGTTTGTGGAGGTGGAGTTCTGGCACTGGCATCAGTATCAGTCTCCTCTCCGTTATCTTCTGACCTGTTCTGCTCTCCATCTGGTCGTAGGTTTAAAGTTTTGGGCACCGGTACCCATGACTTCCTTTTCACTACAGGGGCAAGAGGTATCTCAGGTGGTGTAGTCTGGGTTCCGCTTTCAGTGCGTGTAGTACAGGTGGCATTGTACTCAGGTGACAGGGTTTGAGTTTCCGCCTCAGCCTTAGTCTTCCGAGCATAGTCCACAGCAGTTCGATAGGCACTCGCCAGGCCCCAGTACAAAGCAAAAAACTGCATATTTGGGTCCTCATAAGATAAACACCCTTCTGCCAGACGACGTACCACCTCATCAGGATCAAACACCTGCTCTGGTGTGAAATCCCAACTAATGGGAGGTGTCACGCGCCCTACCAATTTGCCAAAGTTGACCCAGATTCCTTGCCATCCAGGGACTGGTTTTCTCAAGGTCCTTCCCAAAGTTCCAGCAAATCCCTTTGAGTTTTGGCGTTTCCTGCAACAAGAAAAGCAGTACTGCACCACCTTTCCAATGTTAAACACCACTTCCATGGCTTTTAGGAATAGTATAACTGTTGCCAAACAATTTAGGTAAGGATTGGGGCCAATTTTGATCCCAGGGACCTCAGTCACTAGGCCTTTGATGTCATAATTAAGGAAAGGCAGATATTGGTAGATGCCTTTTGGGTTAGTTCTCACTGGATACCCAGCAGCATATATAAAAACAGCCAAAATAACCAAGAAAATGAATAAAAAGACCATGTTTATATATTTTTCTCTCTTTGTTCCCAAACAAAGGTATATTTATATAAACAATAGGTTCTTGGCAACTCTCCCGGTAGTGTTCCCAAACAATGGGCAGTGTTTGCACCAACTTGGCTCCCTTCCCAGACTTGTTCCAAAACAACTGTGGCAAAACCAAAAACAAACCGAGATAACCAGAGATAAACCGGGCAGAAACACCAAAATAAGGTGATATGGTTTGAAGCTGGCTCCCTGTCAAGTCTCCAAACCTTACCACCAGAAGTCCCCCCCCCCCCCCCAAACCTCAGGGAGAAGAGGGAGAAAAACAACCAGCTAAGAAAACCCGAAACGAGAGAGACAGTTAAAGTGATATATATAAATATATTTACACTTATATCTACAATTTAAAATATATACAATTTTCACAAGGGAAGGGGAAGGGGGGAAGGGAAAGGGAACAAAACCAAAATAAAATATATATATATATATATATTTCCCAATCAGTAGTCCGAGATCTAGTAACTAAAGGGTTAGCAAAGAAAATATCCCACCACTCTCCTTGGGACAACCGAGAGTTGCTCTGGGACAATCGCTGGCAACCTCCACCTCCCAAGGTTGACAAGGCCTCACCAGGCCTCGCTCCCCAACATGGCAGACTCAACAGCAGGGAACCTGCACCTCCAAGTTGCCGGAAGGAAAAGAGAGCGAAGGCCTCTCCTCCTTTCTTCTTATAATCTGGCTTACGTAAAAATCGTAGGGAATACTGGGTAAATCTGGACCCTTCCTTGGTTACAAACTGGTCACCAAGGAAGGTCTAGCCCAAACCACCACAGGAAGAGAGCGCGATCCCTCCCGCTGGCTTTATTTGTACCTCAAGTTACGTAAAGGAATAGCATGGAATACTTCCGTGATCACTTTTCTAGTTCCTTCCTGGTTACAAGTTGATCTCCAGGAAGGCCTAGAGTGAAACCACCACATTCTCCACCCCTTATTCCATACTATTTCTTTAAGTAACACCTATGTTTCACGTTCGCGCATATATATACACATATACATATAAATATATATATATATAGTTCTTGTTGGTCTCTCGGTAAAGTTGTCTCGTCGTTGGAAAATCAATGCCGATGTCAGTTCAGTCCAGATCTTTGGTCTCCGATTTATGGTTGTTTCATCACTGGACTGTCTCATCACCGGATACCAGCATCAACTTAGTTCAGGTCTCTCTCTCATCTGGTGACTGGTTTCCTGTAAGAACACAACTTAGGACATACAATTAGTTTTTTCCCAAGGCTAAATTTCCTTGAGGCACACACTGGATGACTCCATCCTTCCTCATTACCCACCACGTATGTCCTGGCCCTTGAGCAAAGACAATCCCACGAATGGGTTTGTCTTGGCCT